AACCCTTGAACTCAGTCTCTCCCCTATCGTGGCCACACACCCATCTGACCCCTCCATCCACTGAGGGGTGGTCCATGTGGTGGGGGTCACTCACAGCAGCTCTGACCAGGAGCGATGGGGGTCTTTTGCCGTCCACCACCCTCTAAGCCCGGGCATCCGAGGGCCTGGCATTTGGGCAGCTCCCAGCTCGGAGGCCAGCAGTGCCTGGTCGGCCCCTCCACCCACCAGCAGGGCCCAGGTGGGTGCACCATCTCCCCGTGCAAATACAGGCGGCTCCACGGCAGGCCCGCTGGACCAGGTTGCCCAGGAAGACCCCAGCAGCCCAGGCCCGCTGGACGCGGAGGGTGCCGAGGCCCTGCCTGGCTGAGCTGGCCTCAGTCCTGAGCCTCCCCTCTGTGTGCATCGTACTGGGAACTGTCTCCCAAAAGGCAGTCCAGTCTCAATCCCCGCTATCTGTGAACCTGACCTCGCTTGGGAATAGGGTTTCTGCAGATGCAATAAAGCTAAGACGAGGCCACACTGGAGTGGACGCCAACCCAGTGGCTGGTGTCTTCATGAGACGGGAGGTTTGGATACAGACACACAGAGAGGAGGCCCCCAGGAGAAGAGGAGGCAGAAACTGGGCGATTCAGCCTCGTGAAGCCAAGGACTGCCAGGCCCCCAGAGCGGGAGGAAAGCAGGGGCCCCTCCCCAGAGCTCTGGGAGCCCGGCCCTGCCCACGCCCTGATTTTGGACCCCAGACTGTGAGAGAGTCAAGTTCTGGTTCTGAGCACCAAGTTTGTGCTAATTTGTTCAGCAGCCTGGGAACCGGGTCCGCCTGCCCACCCTGAGGGACGCCCCGGAGTGGGCAGCACCCACACCCGACTCAGCAGCTGTGGGCTTGTCCTGGCCCTGGGGTGCCCCCCGCCCTGGGGGGCATTAGGCACCGTGGACAACGGGTGTCCCCTAAAAGGCGAGACCTTCGGGAAAGTGGATGCAGAGTGCAGGGACGTTGCCAATGTCACTCGGGGGACAGAGCTGCACTTCCCTCCTAGAGGAGCCCCAATCCCTTCTCCATGGACAGGCACCCCCGGCCCTCAGACACGGCATTGGGGCTGGGAGGGTCCTCCCACGGTCACGTGGGCCTGAAACCCTTGCCAGCCAGACCCTGGGGGTGCGATTGGGTCTCCAGCCGCCCACCTCGGGGAGGCCTCATCCTGTGGCTGAGCAGAGCTGGCCTGCTCCTCGGGGAACCGCCCCGCAGTCAGGCCCCAGGTGGGCTCTGCTGTTCTCATCCATCACCTGTAGCGTCTCCTGGTTCTCACCTGGCCACTCCTCCTTCCTCAGACCCTGCCCACTCCCCTCCTGGGCTCCCCTTCCCACGCCAGACCCCACTCTCATCTGTGCCCCGACGTCGAGGTCCAGGATGGGGTCCATCCCGGGTTCCAGGTGAGCGAATGGGAGGTCAAAACCAAGCCGGGAGCAGAGGGGCGGGAGCGGCCGAGTGACCGGCAGCACAGTAAGGACGGAAGGTGTTGAGGGGCTGCTGGGAGGCCCGGCTCGCGCGCGGGTGGGGGCAGCACGGACACCTGCAGCCACCCCCGAGCCTCCTCTCCCTCCCGCTGCATTCATTTCCCTTACGTGCCTTACACGCAGGGCACACCCATTTCTCTCCACTAATACTAGCAGCGAATATCTTAGCAGTCGATTGCCACGTCATTAGTCTTGGACTAACTTGTTTGGTGTGTGCAACATGAAATGTTTTGCTTTTCTGAGAACAAGAAAAATAAGTTTACTTGCGTTACACTTATTAATTTGTGCAGTTATTCAGTGACTGGTAAGTTAAATGTCCAGTAAAAATATTTTTATTAAAATTTTCTTT